AGGGTTTCCCCTCGCATCTGGGGAGGAGTACCGTCATGCAGTGCATGATCGGGATATCCTCCCCCCTTCTGACGCAAAGGGTGGGGCCCTTCCAGCCCGTCAGCTTGGGAGCGGTCTCCCGAAGCCATTTGACGCTATCTGCGTCTTTGCAGTCGATCTGCATGAACCCGCCTTTGAAGTATACCCCATGGAAGGCTACCGGGTCCTTGCAACCCCTGTACACCTCTTCCATGAGGAGRTCTTGWAGGGCGGTGAGCTCCTCCGCCTCTAGAGTCTCCGCGGGGTAGTTCAAGGGCAGCACAGCCATCCGTATGCCCTTTAAGGTATCCGCATATATTCTGCATCATACATAGGACGTGTATTACGAGTAATCTACTGAACGAAAGTTTGGTTTTCCAACATAAGGCTTTTCCTTTTAATTATCTGTTGGTAATAGTAAGCGAAGTCTTTTACAACCTAAAAGTATAAACAATGACGATCTACCAATCGTTGAGATCCTTTTTTTTGATGACGGGAAGTACTTCATCTTTTACTCGTTTACCACAAGGTCCATCTGCTTCGCTTTTTTTTCTAAATTTCTCAAAAAAAGATTGTGTCAGTACTTTTAAAGTCTGTAGCCCTGATTATGTTCACAAACATTATATTATAGAAACCGCTCGATAAAGAGTCGCCTAGTCTGAAACCTCGTTTGGTATCGAACAGCTTGCTTACCCTTTTCTAACGGAGGTGGTGGTGACGCTCAACGTCATTCTTCGTAGCCGGATAGGTTTTGAAAAAAGTTAAAATTCAGACACGAATACCGATTGTGTTTTTGAAAGGACATTGAAATCGACAACGGTGAGGCTTATGTTGATCTGTTTCTATTGGATCCCAAAAGTTTTAGCAACGTAAATATCTGGTTAATTGTTGGTTTACCAGATCGGAGGCCACACTGATAAGATGGAATCATTTTAATTACGATGAGCACAGAGTACACTCCATAAAATCCTATACGAAATACCATCGTAATCGTCATTTCGTTGTTGTTGCTGTAGCGACAGAATTATGCCGAGTTGACAGTCCTTGCCCGGGTCCGCTCCGGTTACGTAGACTCTACTGCCGTGGGAACGGATAGTCATTTCGTTGATGATTGCTCTCCGCTCTAACGGTTTATAGTCCACTTCTTCAACTCTGGAGGGACGGTGTATTTTTCAATGTACTGAAGAAGCGTTATATGTTTGACTGTGTCAAAGGCTTTTGACAAGTCCAAAGATACGATGATCGTCCTGTGTTATAGCTGCTTAGGAAGGTAAGGATTAGCTGAGTTGTCGATGTCATTTAATGGATGACCAAAGAAACGTGCTATTTCGACGGGGTCGGATCAAAAGGAGAGGTGTGTTAGATGAGTGGAGTAGATGGGGCATGCAAAGAGATGGCCAGTGTCATGCGGAGACTCATTATATGCAAGACATATATTGGATATGTCGAGGTCTATTCTGTATAAGTAGCAGTTTAATTTGATACTGTATACAGAAAATAACGCGGCAACTTGAGCTCTTCGTTTTCGATGGGTGGGTGTTTGACTCCGAGTACGCCATTCACTGGAAGGGAGTCGGTGATTATATTGATGGATCCACTGTGAATAGCGGTCAATGCTTGTCGGAAGTTTTTTGCGTACGAAATCTGGTCCGCGTACTGTCTAATGTCAATGACGGAATTGAGGCATGACCTCTTGATGTTCCTACTTGGCGGTTCCACTCCAGCAGGTGCCTTCAGGGGTGATTTCTGCGAAAGCATCCCAGCAGGAACTGCCTGGAGATGAGCTCTTTAACTGGGAGCATACAGGCTTCACTATGTAGGTGTTCAATGGGAGACATCAAGAGGCATCCTGTCGTAGTCCGGAGAGCAGTATTCTGACAAGTCTGAAGCTTCATAGTCTGCGTTCTACTGCATCCAGACGACCATATTGGTGTGGCGGAGACCGGCCAGACGATTGCCTTGTAAGTTGCCAACAGCGTCTGGACGATATATTTGCACCTCTGTACTTTGGCAATTAGCTCAGTAATATAGTGTGACATCTAAAATCTTAGGATTATTGACTGTAATATTAAGGTCTAAACTATACTCCTTAGTCCACTTTGTAAATATATATGGTCGCTGTGGATTTGGTGGAGCAGATGTCAATATCGTGTAATCATCAGCGTACGAGGTTATGGAAAGTCTCTTTGGTGAGCGTGAGAGTTTTGAGATATAGAAGTTAAACAATAGCGAGGAGAAGACATTACCCTGCGAAACACCTTGTTTAATTCTTCTCGTTATGAATTTATTAATCGAAATGGTACGGATGATTGACAACCGCTCAGGTAGTTTTTTCAATGTCGTTTAGTAGCGTTGAGTGACTGTGTCAAAGGCTTTTGATAAGTCCAACCAACTATCTGAGCGTTTATGATGCTAAGTGCTGTGGTGGTACTGTGCACTTTTCGCAAGCCATGCTGATGGTTTGCTAGGCTCAGGTGGTAAGTGAATGTCGTGAGTAGCAAGACCTTAAGTGTCTTCACTACTGTAGCTAAAATAGCTCGTGCACTTCTTGTAAGTAAATGGTGCGCAGTCTTTTGGCATTTTTCGCAGCCGTTGGGTAACATTTGGTTTTGTCTACCGAAGTGTGCAGTGCCGGCTAAAATAATTTGCGCACTTCTATTTGGTCCAAAGAGGAATGGCCATTGAATTGAACTTCCACTCGGTCATCATGTCCGTTTGGATTAGATGAAGCCTTAACAGTAGACCAATGCTTACTCACACCGGTGGAGAGGTTGCAAGACTTCACGTGCTCTATCTATTTTGTCCGCTTGTGTTGATTTACCAATTGCCGAATCTCCAAATTGAGATCCCTTATTCGGGGATCACGTGCTTGTTAGATAATCCAGCTGTTTCGGCTGGGATATTAGGCCGGAGTTCCGCAATTTTTCCAACCGGAATGAAGCGAGAGGTAGCTGCTGCGATCACTTCGCGGACGTTCGCCAACGGTAACGTCCGCAGGAATTGGTAGAGGGGGGAAGGTGTTTTCAGTAAATTCTGTAAAGCCAATTTAAAGTTAACGAAGGCACGGTTGTCCACGGAAACAAAATCGGGGTTTCTTGATCGAGATAATGGTGATCTAACTTTGTATTGATCTTGCTTTAAGTTTGTCGGTTGCTCCGTATTCTCCTGACTCGTAATAGCATTGCGGTAAAAGGCTCCGTCCAAATTGTAATACATACAATGGATGGAGCAAGCTTAAGATCTGCTCAGGCCTTAAGACCCACAAGCAGTGAAATGTAAGTTGCCAACATGTTGCCAACGAGTGCTAACCAAACAGTGAAAAATGTTTTAAATATTTTATTTCAAACGTACTAATTTAACAAAACTTCAATACATACATCTAAATACTTATAACATCGTGCTATATTAAAATGCCTTCGCATTTTAAACATTATTATTCAACTGAAAATAATACAAAAACAAATCAAAAGAAATGACTGCGAAGTATCAGTAATCAAGACGTTTTTTCAATCGAAGTAAGCAAGCATTGTCTATATTTGATGAATTATCTATTTCTAAATCACGTAATGTAGACATCTCTGAAAGTCTGTCTTCAATATCAGTATATATACGTCGACAGCGATGTATTGAAAGTGTCTACAAACATATAAAAAAATTTATAAAATTGCAGTTTTTATTAAAACAATTTTTGCATAATATAATAGCATGATAAGTAGTAGAATGTAATATATTTTAATTGGATTATTAGAATTAAAAAATAATAATTGATAGAATTATAAATGTCAGAAAGAACTACATATATACAAGTTAATAATCGTATTCAAATATAAGAAAATTACCCAAAAAAAACCCATTCTTTAATGAAATTATTAGTTTCGAATATTATCCAAATTCATGGAAAAAGCTGCATGCAAGTATTTGCAAAGTTACTATCAAAGCTGCCTCCTTTCCTCCACGAAAATGATATAATTCTAACGAAGCAAGTTGCGTAGCTCAGGTACTCGATAAGTTGTGGCATGAAGGTTATAAAATGAAAACAGTATCTCTTTTTGAGTTGCATAAAACAGTAGTCTTATTTTAAAAATAGGAAACTTAGTAGATTTTCCACATCAGATTAATGTCTGATAAGGGTTGATGTACTACCGAGCCTAACACATGGCTCTACATTTCTTATATACAGCAGACATTCCACCAGGTAAGAATGTGTTCACATCTACTTTTGAGAATGGCACAACAATAGTGTGACGTAATACATGTCTCATAAGGGTGTCATGTGTCAGTTAGTCCGAAGTAGCTGTTGGCAAGTTATTTTGCGTTGGATTTCGAGACTGATGTAATCGCACGAAATTGGTCGTCTTGTCTGTAACCGCGTTTTGTATCGAACGGTTCGGAGAGGTCTGTCGCGATCCTGACGGAGCTTTTGGTATTGCTCAACATCAGTTTACACAGCCGTATTAGCTTTGTGGGTATACCAAATTCATACATTATTTTACGTATGACCAAGAATCCTCTGGGTAGGCAAATAATATCCGTTTGAAAGTGGACCATTACTCCTAACGGTGATTTCTTTTTCATTGGGTGCATTTTTTACGTGGCGGATTTAATTGAAAAATATCTTAGTTCTAGGAGGCGGCTCCCGCCCAAGCAGGTGACTCCAGGGATATTTTCTGCGAAACCGAACAGGACCTGCTCAGAGAGAAAAATGTTATGCTTCCTTACAAGAAGCACGCGGGCCTCAATGTGTTCATGTTCGATGGGATAAATCCAATTATACTCCGGAGTATGGCCGTTCTGACAGGTCTGCAACTTCTCCATATATGTTTGTATGTTACCAACAAAGTCTTTTCGTCTTTACCCCAACTGCTGCCGCCCAGAAAATCGAGGATCCTATTATGGCTAGGTACTTTCGTGACAATCCCGGTTGTGTGCAAAGTGAAAGAGTGTAACACCTAAAATTTTAACCGTCGGAATTTTCTCATCATCTATTGAGGGCCAGTCGTTACTTCTTCATCCATTTCGTAAATATGCTAGCCGATGGTGAGATTATAGAACTTCTTATTGTGGTTGTGGAAATGTAGTGATAAAACAGTAGCGAGTAGCGAGAACCGAAACCCCTTTTTAATTCTCTAGACAGGTTATTAGCTCTTTAGTCCTGGATGGACTGCTATTTTTGTTCGGTGTCTTCAAGTTGCATTGTGTGATTCACAGTGTCACAGGCTTTCGACAAGTCCAATGCTATCTTGATAGCCGTGCTGGTGTTCGGGTAGACTCCGATGGTGTCTGGAGGTTGGAAGTAATAAGGTCTTCATAATTTTCACTACTGAGGATAGGAAATGAGCAGGCTTCCCAAGTTTCAGTAGTGGGCATGTGAAGACGATTCACGCGGACTTCTATAAGTGTCCATAAATATGAAGGAATCAATGTGGAGAACGTCGAATGCAATAAGGTAATCAAACCCGATTAAACATAAGATAGCCTTTATATAAAAACACTACCAAAAAGACCCTTCGGTTGTCTAGTTTTAAGAGATTTATATTATATCAAAATATACAGGGTGGCTGCTGAAAGCCGCTACCAAAAAAAAAATTAAATAACTTTTGCAGATTGACTTTTACATTTAACAAAAATGGATAACTGGGACACTGAAACAAGAATTTGGGTTGTCCGCCGCTATTATGCACTGGAGTCCATAGTTTCGGTTCAAAGAGAGTATAGGCGCACGTTTGGCGCAATCCTCCGAGCAGATGGACCATAATGAGACTTGTAAACAACTTTGCCGAGCATGGGACAGTCAACAGAAGACCTTACCATCGAAACCCTTCAGTTCGAATTGAGGAAACAATCGCTGCTGTAGCTGCTGCCAAACAATGAATGAATGAATGCTGCCATACAAAACAAACCACGTGTTTCGACAAGAAGCTTATCTGCTCAAATGGGTGTAAGCAGACAGTCATTACAGTCAATTATGCACAAAGATTTGGACTTATTCCCATATAAAATTCAAATGGCCAACAAACTAAACGCTGCAGACTTGCCGATTCGCTTGAAATTTTGCCAGAAGATGCTTCAAATGGTGGAAGAGGATGGAAACATGTTCAACATGTCTGACGAGGCCCATTTCGATTTAAACGGCAACATAAACAAACAAAATTGTCGAATATGGAGTGCTTCCAACCCACAGATATTCTATGAGACGGAATTGCATGCACTTCGTGTCACAGTGTGGTGTGCAGTTTCATCACTTTGCATTGTCGGGCCCTACTTCTTCGAAGAAAACGGTCACACCGTTACGGTTACTGGAGACCGTTATTTGAGCATGCTGAGAGTTTTTCTATCCAGAATTACGAATGAGAATTTCTTTCAACTCTGTGTGGTTTCAGCAAGATGGTGCAGCTCCTCACATAGACCAAACCTGTTATGACAGAATTGCGACGAAAATTTCCCAATAAGCTGATATCCACAAACTCCATATTCCGTTGGCCACCCAGGTCGCCTGACCTTACTGCACCTGACTTTTTCTTGTGGGGTTATTGCAAACAAAGCAAAACCAACAAATTTGAATGAACTAAGGCAACCCATTCGAGAAACAATTGCGGCTATTCCTGTCTCAACTCTCCAAGCAGTAATGAACAACTTTTTGGTAAGATGCTGCACATGCATCAACGAGCAGGGGGAGCATTAAAATTCCATTATTTTTAAAACTAATTAAGCTATATTTAATAAAATTGAATGAGCTTTAACATGAATAAAAGAAAAATGAATTTCATACACTAAAAAAAATAATAATAATTTGAGTTTCTTAATGTAGTAAAATTCATCAGCCACCCTGTATTCAGGATTTATTACTTATTGTTACGTTGCAAACAAGCATATTCAATAAATAAGAATATTTTAAGCAAAAAAAAAGTAAGCAAAATTTTGGCAAATATATAGTTACAATTTTCAAATATTCATAAAAATAAAGTAACGAATATTTTTAAAAATAATAAAAATTTAAATATTTAATACTTTAAAAATATAATACTGAATAAAGTTGCATTATTTACCTGAAGATTTTTGCAGTTTACTAAAATAGCGTCTAAAGTGTGATCAGTTAGCTGGCTGCATCCATTGATATGCAACGCTCGAAGTCTAGTAAGATTAACTGTAATCAATTGTATAGCTTTGTCATTAATACTTTCGCAATCAGACAGATCAAGTGTCTCTATTGAAGGACAAGCATGTACCATTTGCTCAATACCTGTGAGCGAAATTTGTTGACAATTTGAAAGCGATAAATTTTGTAATTCCACAAATTTTAGTCCATATTTTAAAGAAACATCTGATATTTTATTGCAACCGCCTAAATATAAAGACTTTAGTCCTTGGAGCTCTTTAATACTGTAGCCCTCCATATCACATTCTCTAATCGAGTTCATTTCATAAGTTGCAACCATAGCTTTTTTTCTTATAGCATCTCGAACTATATCTTCTTCGGCTTTACTCCTTAACGAAATCTTTATTGAATGATTGCTATCGTTTGAAATATATCCTTCAGCTAAAGAAGAAAGTGAGAATTGATGTAGTTTATCAATTGAATTCTGTGAGTTTGGCGCAAGAACTCCTTGCGAAATATTAATGCCTGTCAATGCTACATCTGTAATCTAGAAAATAAATTCTTATTTTTTAATATCGTCGGAATTCGCATAGGGCTGTGCCAATTTACAACTTACCCGAAAACAATTTTCCAAAGATAAGTCTCTTAACCAACGCAAGTTTTGAATAATGCATTGAACTGATTCATCGGTAACACCATTCACACAATGCGATAGATTCAAAACACGGAGTTCTGGAAGATTTTGCGCTAGTACCATTATAGCTTCTTCGCATACCTGCAAATGAGCCATTTGCAGATATAAAAGTGTTGCATTTGGTTTCGCTGCGACCCCATTGGTAAGACCTTCTGATTGTATACCATCGCATCGCGACACGTTTAAAGATTTTAGGTATTTAAGCTCACCCAACAATGATGAACCATTGTTTGTAATATTAATGCAGCCGGAAATATTTAGTTCTTGCAGTAATGGAAGATTCTTTACAATTACATCTATGCAACTATCATTAACGCAGATGGTGCCGGACAAGTCCAGTGTCAATAGCTTATTCTGTTTTTTTAAAAATGACTGAAGTGATATATTGTTTACTTGCCTACAATTAGCAAGCCYCACATTTTGTAATAGGAACCCTTTGAAACTCAGATCACTTAAAGCAATTAGGGATGGAGGACTTATTAATGTATTACTAAGATTTAAGCTACGTAAATTTTGGTGATGCATTGATATTATACTCATAATGACCTTAAACGTCAATATACATTCACTTGGTGTGACGTCTACATCGTTGGGATAAAACCGTCGTTGAATAGCATTGTGATATGCAATATGACATCCAGATAAATCCAATGTATTAATACTGTGCATCATTTCTGTAATGCGTAATAAAATGGCATCTGATAAGTATTGATTATCCTTCAAGGAAAGATCTTGTATTCTGCAAAAATTTATGCAGACAGACAAGCGATCATCAATGTTGTCTAAAAACGAACCAGACATGAAAAGCGGCGAACAACGAGTTATAGTTATTGCACGAATTTTTGGCAAAAGGCTCATTATAGCATAAAACTGTTTGTCACCTACATCAACATTATCAAATATTATTTCCTCTGCAGTATTTCCAATATGACTCATTATGTTTTTTATCGGGCCAAAAGTAACTTCTTCAAAGTGGTAATTGCGAAAAGGTCTGTTGCTCATTAGAAAGTCTTTAGCAGGGGAGCTTCTGTCAGAAAGGCAAACTTTTGAAAATCGAATTATATTTTTGGTAGAAAATTCAGTATTAAATGAAGCTTCACGCCATCGCTGACAAGTTTTTCCGGCTACCTGTACATCTGGGAAGCTTAAGAAACGAAATATGTGTTGAATAATCTGCAATAGATATGTTTTAAGCTTAAACTCTTTCGAACTATCACAAATGTATAACTTTAAAGTTTTATATACTATACTATATATATATACCATCATTGAATATCACGTGAACACTGAAATAATGTCATTAAATAACTTCAATTCCTACCTCCATTGGCAATTCACCATAACTGGGCTTCCAACTTCTATAATCCTTATCTTTTAATTCATAAGACTCCATTGTTTTTGTAATAAAAAAATTGGACGTTTGTTGCATCGACAGTCAATTTGTACTACTATTGAGACTTGTTTGTACATACGTAAATAGATATATATATATATGTATGTATTATTCAAAGGCAAATGTATGAAATAAACATAAACTATTGGAAATGGCAATCCATATGCACCATGGTCATTGTATAAACCTACATTAAATCCAATGACCATGGTCCTCTACCGTGATGTGCACTATGTATGTATGTATGCTGAACGATTGTTACTTGTCAGCTGATAATAATCGGTCTACATATAAAAAAAATATGCAAATCGATAACAAAGAAATTATAACAAAAATCTATTAGGCTACGTTTATGACCGAGCGGATTTGATAGCGCTCAAATACATAAATCCATACGGAGGTGTTTACCGTGCAGCGATTCAGCGAAAAGCGGTTTCAGCGAAAATAAGCGATCAAAATTTTTGATTCAGTTAAGCGAATCGCGTTGAAAAGTGTGAAATAAAGAATGTTTGTGGAATCTGCGTCATCCAGATTATCATAATAGAAACAAAATCAGAAAAGCTTGGGAGAAGTAGAAAAAGAATTGTTTGGAAGGTAAGTATTATTCTATTTTTGTCTAATAAACAACCTTTACTTAAGTGAATATAACATTTTTTTGAACAAAATATTCCTTTACCCTAGAAAGATAACGTACGTCGAAACGACGTACACATTTTTTTAAATCGTACGTCGAAAAGATGTATCGTTATCTTTAATGTGACTTTTTGGTTTTTCAATCGCATGTATGTTTTATTTACTTTTTTGTGTTCGGCTTACTAGGTTTTTGGTTTTTAGATTTAATTTGCTAAAATATATAATGGCATCTTCAAATTCAATTGATGACTCACAAATAGCTGCTCTTTTGGAAGAGTTAGATAATGAATCGATTTCATCTGATCAAGGAAGTGAAACGGAGGATGTAGTACTAGAGGACAATGTTCAAAGTGATTTTGAAGATCAGTTCGTTGACAGTCCAAATGAGATTTTGATGGGATCTGAAACACCTGATACAATTACTTCTGATGGACGCATT